CCCGCCGCCGCCGGCCTCACACACACGCGCTCTAGGACCTTCCCAACGCCATGTCAGCGGCAGAGATGACGGACAAGTTGGGCCTGCACGGTCTCCGCCACCGGCAATGGTATATCCAGGCATGCTGTGCCACAACGGGCGATGGTCTTTACGAGGGCCTTGACTGGCTCTCAGCCACCCTCTCCAAGAGGAAGTGAGCTGGCCAAAGGCTAATTTGTGGACGAAGATCCAGTAGCCTCATTCGTGGCTTGAAGCTTGTACGGGCGTGTAGCAAGAGCGGTCCGGTACGTGTAGAGGTTTCTGCTTGGTCACTGTCTCGCGCTGATGCTCACGTCCACTCATTCAGCTGTTCGTATCTGACCAGTAGACAAATATCCGGAGTCGTTTTGGCGTCGAATTTTGGGGACGACGACAAAGTGACAAGACATGGCCGCCCGTCGTTCATGTGTGTAACCGTAGTGCTTTCACACGGGCCGTAGCATAGCATGGGTTGGCCGGCCTCTTTACGATTACCGGCAGATGCCACGCACAATCGTGTCGGTTTTTAATGACCGAGGCTGTTGAGCTCTAGAATAGGCGAAGAAAGGCCTAGACCAGAGCTTCCGGTGGAACGGAATTGTTTGTACGCTCGAGACGCACGAAGCCCCGCGTAGCTGCGTACTAGGCTGCAGAGATTTTGGGTTGTTCTGAGACACCGTTGGCAGTCCCGCAAAGGGCTTTGTTTGACAAGGGGTGGGGGGGGGGGCACTTTTTTGTGTTGAATAAAGCCTGCGAAGGCGTGTACGTAGCCTTTGGCAAAGCACCTACGTCAAGTCTGGTTTCTGTCGGCGCAGGAAGGATAACTAGTCATGCGTCTACAACCACAGTCCTTGCTTGAGAAAGCCAGGGCAGGTATCCACAGGCGTTTGGAGCCTCGTTGGAGTTTGTGCATGCAACAAATGGTGGTAAGTGATGTGCCTCAGCACTGCAGTCGTTACCCCAGGGCTGCGTTTTGATGTGTCTTGATGTGTCTTGTGCCCAGGGATATTTGTGGCCTCCAACGAAGAGGAGAAACGCATACCCTCAAAACGTCAACTGGCCTGACTTGGCACTCGGATCGTGTGTTGACACCGTGGAAACGGCGTCCCCGACGCTCTTGTCAAGGTGATGAGCCTCATGTGTGGGCAACAAACTGGATTGCCACGTTGGTACGGTTGCTTCCGTTGTAGGTAAAAGTTTTTTTCAAGTGTCGAGGGCATCATCGTGGTAACACCCAACCAAGAGGGACGGCTGAACCCATCCTCGCGTTGCAAGAAGCGTCGAAGGGAAAGGAGAGAAATAGCAGAGGGACACCCGGCTCGTGGGTCCAAGTACCGATTGGTGCACATAGTTTGACGCTCAGGACAAAAGAGAACAACACGAGAAACTTACGGTCTATGCTCGCAGCAACAAGGTAGGTAACTACCTCTAATGCAAAACACCAATCCGAGGGCTTCCAATGGATTCCTCTGCACTGCTGGCGAGCGCGCTCTATTTTCGACACTTTATCGGCAAGGTCTCGACAAGACGGCTGCAATGCCGTTGTTTTTCGGCACTACAAGTCATTCTGTCGTGGAGAAATCGAGCTTTAGAAAACAGATTCAGGGGGTGTGGTTGCCTTGTGTCACCTTACCGTTGTCCGGTGGGAGTAAAACTTTAACCAGACCGTCCGAGATTGTGTTCGCGGTTCAAGGCGCTCCAACAGTCGGCCCAAAAGAGTTGTACTTAAGGTGCAACACGATTGCGAGGTCGGAAACGCTTTCGCGACCCAAGCCCTGCAGGCAACTTGCTTCGACGGCAATACACGATTGCCCCCGAAAAACTAACGCAAACACAACTGCGAGTCGCATGTTTCACTCTATTTGCCCTCATGGGATGTATCACTCTCTATCCCTCCGCGTCACTACTTTTCCTCGTCTTGGCGATATCTTTTGCCTGGCGAAACGAAAAAATGGTCACAGGGACGACGGGGACGAGGAGGGCATTACCGGGGTGTAAGCTAAGGTCATGTACATTTCACATACAAAGGGAATCTCCAGCATGCCGCGTGCGTTTACTCCCAAAACATTTGCCGCCTCTGCTGCCCCCTCACCAACACCGCGCGTTTCGAAATTTCTAAAAGCAGCGAATCGAATTTAAACAGAGCTGGCGGAACAACGACAGCGCGCTGATACGCAAGTATCACTCAAAACAGGGTCAACCTTCCTCCTGAACGAATCGTTTCTCCTTCGCGGGATTTCGATTTGAACCTTAAGTAAAAAATACACAATACGGCAGATTCCGTTGAACGGAGGCGAAATCAACCGCTCGTTTCAGCCGCCTAGTCAAAGCCAGCCTTAGCACAACGAACTGCTTCAGCAACAGTGAACATACGCTTGAACAAGGCATCGGGAACGCGAACGGTTAGGTCTGGAACGGTGTCTGAACATCGCCGAATTCACCTGCGCAAGGAACAAGTCGTCATCGATGTCGCCCTTGTACTCGTCACCCTCGAAGCAACCCTCGAAAGCCTTCAGAAGCTCGCTATCCTTATTTCTAGCCAGGGACATCAACGTAGATGATTCGCCTGCGGAGGATCGTGGCATGAACAAACACTGTTTCAATGCGAATCATTAAACGAAAGGTCCACCGCCAGAGGGATCTTGTTTTCCCCTCGCAAATATTCCTCGAAGCTCGGCGTTGCGAAATTTGACCGCGCCTTGGCGACGCTTGCTGAGAGCGAGCTACACCTATGGCATGTGCAACTAATCTGTGCGCACTCGCGATATTCGAAACTTAGCTGCAAGATTGGTCGCATGATCTTCTAATGAATACCTTCAGATAACATGCCACCGCTGCGAAGACGCAGAACATCTTTCAAAACGTCTTTCCAGCTGAACGTCTCTGCAGGGTCCGCTACAACCTCGGTGTCAGCTTTAACCTCCTTGTCCTCGCTTTCATGGGCTGGAGAGCACATGACGACAGAGCATGGGTGATGTGATGCATGAGCAACGGTGCATGAACTACCAACACGCGTATGTCGCATTCCAGTCCCTACTTGCACCCATATATTCAAAGTAACCTTCATCCCCAAGAACAGCACCTGAAGACAGGCAGGCAGGGCAAGGAGACTACTGGAAATTCCTGTAAGGCCACGAGGAGGGCACGAGGCCTCATCCCATAAAAAAAATACACTACACGGACAAGAGATGTGAAGAGCAGCAACGGTATTTACTCCACAGCCATCAATATTCGATATTTCCGGAGCGAAACGATTCCAGACTCTGGGTTCTCGAAGCCACCAGAATTTTTTTCTCACATGCAAACTACAAGGCTTTTTGATCGCCTCCGAAGCGCTTGCGAAATATACACGGAGGACTAAAAATAGCCAACCGACCCGCCATCAATAAACGTGCATTGCAAACCTAGACGAAAGGCCGCAAGTATGTAATCATGGCGGATACCCATTGTCCGTTCTACAGAATATGAGGATGAAATAGGAGGAACCACACGGAACAGCCTGGATTGCTCGGGTAGGGGGGGGTGCAGGGGTGCGGCGTGGTTGGGAAACGTTTTCGGGCCTGAGTTGCCGTGATCCGAAGTATTTTGCCCATTTCAGCACTGCTGTCAGGGACGACGGAGGAGCAGCTTTAGCGGCCGATTAATTCGATACCGCGCACGATTTGGCGACAATTGTAGTAAGCTTATTTCGACCAGATAACAAGGTATAGTTGCTACATGCTCAATAGATCTGGACTGCTGGGCAATGCACCAGTAGCATACCTTGCGCATGTTGGTAGAGAGCGATGTCCTCCTCAGAGTGTACGATGGTGCCAATGTCTGTCCCTACAGGAACGCCCTCGGTGCCGGCTTCGACCACTGCAAACAAGGACAACGGAAAACACTTGCCGGATAATCGAGTCTCAAACTACTGCTGTACGACGTACATACAAAGGGGCAGCGACACTAGCCCAAAACAAAAACGTGATGCACGCAGCACAGCTGCGCAGAAGAGCGAAGACTACGGAAAGCCACGATGTGTGCAGGAATGAACGAGTGGGAGAACCGGTCATCCTGGAACCTGGGGCTAAGAAGGTGCTTCGGTTGACTGGGGCAATCGAAGTGTTTTGACATGAAAACGACACATAGTAAAAAAGCATAACAGCGCCAGCTGCGCATAACCACTCACGTATCTCAGCGAGGAAGCCCGTGGTCTCGACTTTCACCCCCACGGAGAAATGCTCCAGCTCGATTTCGCAGACCACGTCACCAACCTGTGCACACGGGTGTACACGGAGGGTCAACCACCACGTGCGGCGAAGTCAGACTGCTGTTGCGGAAGCTGATTCGGGGGAATATTGAACTTGCGAAGTACCAGCACAATCGACTCAATCTCTTCGAGGGAAGACAAAGTATTGTTGATACGGGACAAGATCTTGACCCGCACCCATGCATTCATCTCACCGCTGGAGGGCGCCGCCTGCCGTGGTACCAGCTGCTTCATGCACTACCCAAGGCGCTTGATTCATACCTACGCATGGGCCTGCTATTAGTTTTCGTGACACCACGTAGACCCGTAGAATATTGAGAAGATTTTTCTAGCAAAATATGTCGACAGAGACCACGTTGTATCCGATGAACGGGGGATATTAATGGCGCACGACCTGACCGAGGGTTCGCACCGGAATTTTCGTCGGTGACACAACAGCCCTGCGTTCGTGTTCCGGCTCGTGTCCCTGTTTTCTCAGCGTAAGGACTTAACATAGCCTCACTTGTTCACGCCCAGTATCCCCCAGGATTTCAATCCCCATTTTCAAGACGTCAACACACGAACCCTCAAGAATACGCTCTGTGACATTTGTGGAACGTGACTAGACCACGTACTACAGCACTACTGCTGTGCCCGTGCCATTCGACGATGGAGGCAAGACAGAGAGAGAAGGCTTTTCGTTTACAAACGAAGCGACAATCAATCCTCGCACAAATGACAAAAGATGAGGAAAATACGCAAAGGCAGGAAAGGAGCGGATCGCACTTAGCAGCAGATACAGAAAGCAGATATCCACGGAGTGCACTTGCCTCGATGGCATCGCCCACTTGTACCCTCCAGCTGGTCAATGTGGCAACCCTTTCCGCCTGTGATGGCAGACCGATGCACATACAGCAGTAAGTTGTCGCGTCGCACGTTGGAGAAACAAGGCTTCAGTAGGCGCAATATTCAATTAAGTGCACAACAGGCAAAGCTGGCGTGCTGCTGTGGCCGCGGCTACATGATGCGGTGGAACCAGACGAGGCGGCCGTATATGACACAAGATAACACAACCCGGTGATAACATTTTGGAGTTTGAAAATGCTATCACCGGGTGTGGTATCCTGTGGGGGGGGTGTTATCTTGTGTACCCCGGGTGATTAAGTGCAGCTCGTAGGGGCCCCTAGGGGGGGGGGGGGGGGGGGGG